CTGTTATTTTATTTATCTCAGATACTTAAACAGAACCAGGAATTTTTTTTTTGAAATCCAAGGAATGTCAAAATTAAACTCGCTGATATTAACACAGAAATCAATGATATAGTCAGTGGAAATCCTAATATCGTTCAAAAAACTAATCTGATTAAAATTCCTCACGGATGTGTTAACAATATAGTATACACAGTAGCATCATCAGATTCAGCAACGTGGACTCCACACAAAAAATATCAAACATATCGAAGAAGTTACCGGTGGGTATAGACTGTCCGCATTTAGTAGTGCACAAATTAGTATAGTTACTACGTATCTATGGCGTCATTCAGCCACAATTGATTACTCAACGTCATAGTATGATAATGAATCAAACCCTAGTGACGGAGTCACTTATCGACGTTCAGCGTCACAGTATGTGAATGCATGACCGAACAAAGCAACAACAGTCTATTCTAAATTATTGTAATATATTTAGTTGTACCTCAGCGATGGAAAAATATCTGACGAGGAGTTCGCATCGATAATGAAAACCTACGATGAAATATTTAGAACCTCTAGCGATTCTAGTGACTTTGTTACTCAAATAACCAAGGCAAAAATGGAGAATTAGATAATAACAATAATAATAATGATGTCAACCTCCTTGACTGAGTCAAGAGAAATACTTCAACAGATTGTTACTAATACAGCACCGTCAAAAGCTACTATGATATCATTAAGTCTGACCAATCCTGAGTTTAGTGTTAACTTTCCAATCGCAATAAAAACAAAAGAAATAGCATTAGCACAATTACAGGTTTATTATAGCTGGTTTAATATTAGATCAAAAACATTCGGTGAATTGCAACCGAATGATTCATTAGTATTTGCAAATAAGAATAAGCCTGATAGAACTCCTGATTGGCAAGTAGTTAGAATTCCAACGGGCAGTTATCAAATAGAACAGATCAAAGATGAATTCCAACAGAGAATTAAATGCATCACAGGAAAAGAATATTAAAAAAATACTGCAAACGAACCAACATGATCAGCGGCAATTGAAATAAATTTTCCTGATTATTCTGTAGATATTTATCAAGGTTCGGTTAGATCAGTAATAGGTTGGCTTGAAGTTGAACTAATTTATAAAGGCTCACCAGAACCACAACGATCTGATTTCGTTTTAGAAGTTCAAAAATTTACAAACCTCCCAGAAAATCGAAAACTTATTCATTTATGGAAAATTCAGTTTGTGATGGTTATGCTCATTATACTCATTTAATAGATTTCATCCAGGGTATGAATTGCACAACAATAATATAATTAATTAAAGTTGAAGAAAGTAACGATAACATAAACATGTACTGAATGATCAAATAAATTTATTTTCCAGGATCAGCACTTTTTATGCCGATGATTTAAAAAATCAAATAATTGAAACAATACAACATCTGAATCAATATGCATCAGGCTTAGAATATGCAAATAAGGCTATCGTTGAGAGAGAAAAAAGTTAAACGCAACGGCCGATAGATTATTTTTAGTACTTACATAGGTAATGAAGACGGCCCAATTCAGCGTGTAAGTTATACACATTCCTTTGAAACAGTATTTCTTAAACATTATGGAATTACTGAAGAACGACTGACAACATTTGTAATTTCTTGATTTATCTCTGAAGAGCTATATAAATCAGTTATTGATCTTATTGATGAGCACTTTAAAAGAATAGGTGATTAATGGACAAAATTAATCCCGCCATCAAATATAATAATGATCCACATGGTGGAGGCCAACATATCTCACCTGATATTGTTAATATAACATCAACAATCGCAGTCAATCTAATATGCAATGCAGTTGATGGTAGTTATCAATGATGTATATTACATGCATTTATAGCTCAAGCGCAACCAGGGCGGTTAATTGTATCTGAGCCAATTAATCAAGTTTGTCTACGTGTCATAATCTATTATTATCAAGAATAAATTTCAAACTCACCGACCAGGCAGAAACCATTCTTGACTTAAGAAATGAAGAATTGAAAATTAATTTGTAAATATACTCTCGTAGAACGTCTGATAAATATTCCCTGGTGTAATAAAGATAAATATCATTAGATACTGACTTTTGTTTTACAATAATATATTTAAACCAATTGCACATATAATAAAGAGAAATAACTCCTGTAGAGAAAAACGTATCCACAGAGCAATTTAAACGATTATCTCCCTTTATATACTACTTGGCTAGCTTTACCAAACCCATCTATTTTAACCTCTTCAACGAAGCGTATTAGTTCGTCTGTCTGTTTCTGGCCGTACTGAAAACAGAATTTCCTGAATCTTTAAAGGCTTGTTAAATACCAACAGATTGACAGACCCCTGCCTATCATATAAACAACTCTGTTGTTTCCGTACATGCACAGCCGTAAATACATACATACATACATACATACATACATACATACATACATACATACATACATACATACATACATACATACATACATACATACATACATACATACATACATACATACATACATACATACATACATACATACATACATACATACATGTCATCTTAGCAAGATATATAGAATCCTTTACGTAAGCAAAGCCGCGTAATAGGCATTGTGTTTCAAGGCTTTTATAGATATATATACTTCAGGTTGCATGTATTGCAAACTCATTAATGTCAAGCTGTGTTCCTATCTTTAGATTGTAATAATGTAAAATAACTGAATGAAATCTCTTTTGAAGAGGAAATAAAGAAAGTCATACATACATACATACATACATACATACATACATACATACATACATACATACATACATACATACATACATACATACATACATACATACATACATACATACATACAAGCATACATGCATGCATGCATGCATGCATGCATGCATGCATGCATGCATGCATACATACATACATACATACATACATACATACATACATACATACATACATACATACATACATACATACATACATACATACATACATACATACATTCATACATACATACATACATATATATATATATATATATATATATATATATATATATATATATATATATATATATATATATATATATATATATATATATATTTTGTAAAATCGTTATATATAAGAAATATACATGCAATTAGTAAAGAATCTATTAGCCTGGGATCAACTGCGTACACAAATAACAGATGTTAATACACATATAATTGGGTTACACATATAGCAGATACTACTACTACTACTACTACTACTACTACTACTACTACTACTACTACTACTACTGATAATAATAATAATAATAATAATAATAATAATAATAATAATAATAATAATAATAATAATAATAATAATAATAATAATAATAATAATGCCCTATATTTATGCATGGTCGCATAATTAACAAACAGCTAGTTTACATTATGGCCTACAATTAAAACCATTATATAAGAAATATATATGTAATTAGTTAATAATCTATTAGGCTGGAATCAACTGCATAAATGGGATACAAATATCACAGATGTTAATATAAATTGTACAAGGACACTCTTTATTTTTTTCTTTTTAGAGACAATGATGCAAGCATTGGAAAATAGATGCAAAGATAGAAAAATGGATACAAACATAGGAAAATGAATACAAACATAGGAAAAGTAAAGAAAAATGTATTAGTTTTATATAATTATCATACATGAATATGAGATAAGGCACTTAGAAGTGCCGTTGCCTTTTGAGGATTCTCCTATCACACTATTTACTGTGTAGTAACCTGAAGTGACGTAATACTTCACTACTGTACACGTCATCAATAAGTTTGTACAGTAAATTATATTTCATTTGCAGTGTAAAAAATAGCGCGCAAGAAGATACCACTATCGTGATTTTACGATCACGTGTCCAAGTCTTTATAATTTAAAACAGCTATTGTTAATAAGAAAATAATCCATATATTACAGAGCAGGGAACAATGAAACAGACATTATACAATTTCTTTCGAGCACGTATAAACCGATTCCGTTGGGAAATTTTTTACACAGGAGACGTTGAATAAATTCTTCATCTGATACATTATTTATCATATGTATCCAAAATATTTTTCTTTTGTTGCCACATAGGTTTTGCAGCAAATAAATGAATGGATTATTGTATATATATATATATATATATATATATATATATATATATATATATATATATATATATATATATATATATATATATATATATATATATATATATATATATATATATAAATTTATTTTTTTTCTTGAATTTTATGCTTTGACTGACTTGTAATGTGGTACATCTTATATATGTATATGTATATATATATATATATATATATATATATATATATATATATATATATATATATATATATATATATATGTAAGAATAAAACGGGAATAAATGCAAAATGACCGTCCATTTAGCCCGCCGAAAGAAGACATTTTCGTCATCTTGGCTTATTGACTGTGCACTGCTGGATCAAACCCTGTGGAGGCCCCTAAGCAGACAAAATCTCTCCCCTTTTCCTCGCAAATTATCTCCTAATGCGTTTCTAACTTTACCAACCAACAATTTTAATAAACCAAGGTGTGGGGCCCATAGGCCGGTGGCTACTCTACCTATGTGGTAATCCAGTACTGGCTCTGTTGCACTTATGTTCTCCCAAAATCTTTATTTTATTTTTTTTCTTGAATTTTATGCTTTGACTGACTTGTAATGTGGTACATCTGTGATAGCTACGCAATAGACATCGTCCTCAGAATGCCTTTCTATTCTATTTTTACAGACCCTAGGGAATACTAACTGTAGTCTGAATCATTCGATTTGCGAAAAGTTATCAAGATTTCTCCGAAATAACGGTTTTAATGATCAAAATGGTATTTTCAATACTGCGTGTCTCATGTTTGTTGTGCACATTGCGAATTGTTTGCTTGGTCGGCCATTTCTCTCGGGACTGAATCTAACGCATCATTGGGACTGCTCTGGTGGTCTAGTAGTTAGTGCGTATGCCTTGGATGTGTGAGGTCACGTGTTCGAACCCCGGCCGAATCATGCCAAAGATTTAAAAAAATAATGCTAACAAATGACTCGCTTGGCACTCAACATTAAGATGATAGTGTTAGGACTGGTCGGCCTGGTGTCAGGATAATGTGACTGGGTGGGACATCTGCGGAATGATGCCTCAGTGTTAGACATAACTATAAACTGTTTCAGTGCAGACATCGTAGCGATATGACTGAAATTGTTTTAAAGCTACGTTAAATATCGAAAACACACTCAAACTCATCCGCATCATTAACTTTATCAGCGTCCTATGAGCGTACTCAGTAGTACCAACAAAGAGGTTAGTGTGGTCGCCGGTAAGATCGAAACTTCTTGAAGATGTTCAACACAGCTGTATCGAATACTGACATGGCGGATTATGCAACTAAATACGATTAGAGCGATTTTATTTCGGTTGATCTGGTAGCATGTCATCCTGGAAGTTTACTTGGATACGGAAAGTGTTCTGAATGCTATTAGAGATTTGGACATCCAAGACACGAGATGACCAGATTTGCGATAAAATGACATTTGCCAGATTTTAATTTAACTGGATTTGACTGTATAGAGTTGTTCGAGTTTACACTGAATAATCTTTTATATATTGTTTATGCGTGGTTTGGAAGACAAATGTTGGGCTCTAATAGTTTTATTACGGTAAATGCTTGATGTTTCAATATTTATATAGTTGATCAATTGATCATAGGCATACAAAGTTCTTGTATAAGGTCTTGATAACTCTCAAAGTCCTGACTACTGTCGTTGGCTTTGTTCTATTAAATTTGTAGTAAATTCGTAGAAAAACCTCGAGGCAGAGTAAGTTTTATATCACGCAGCGTTTTGTTTGTGATAGTCTTTAACAAGCATGACTCTTCTTACACTGTAAAAATAGCAACAGTTCAAAATTCGAGAAATGATTTTATGTCCGCGTTTCACTTGTATCGACAAACTTTCTGTAAATATATTCTCGCATTTTCAGCAATCTTCTAACGAATCAGTTACAAGAGTGTCTTTCTTTTTGATGAAATAGCCCTACTTTATACACGTGGTATCTGCAGGCAAAGAGTACGAACAGTCTTTTTAAACACACACACACACACACACACACACACACACACACACACACCATGAGGAAGTTTCGTCTTGAGAAAACTTCTTTTTTAAACGTTGTTTGTAATTCACTAAGTCTTTATTTTCGTGATAGCATTCCTATATTCTAGAAAGAAGACATGGCATTAAAATTCTTCCTGAGACGTAATTGCTGATCACTGCCTGACCATTTGAACACTTTCAAAGTAATCAACCCGCTAATAGTATTCAGGTTTAAAAGTCTGTCGTAAAGGATGTAATCGTTTATTGCTTTTTACTTACTTGCATGTGTGCCAAATATTTGTAAATGAGTTTTCTTTGCTCATAGGCCAACTAGGAATGCTCTCTTCTAACGTATACATGGGGATAATAATCATGTTTGACCAACGGAAGGTTAAAACAGCACCGACACCATCGTACATATTCCTTTAGAAATCCGATTCTTTATATTCCTATTCATGGATCTTAACACCACAACTGAAAGTCCGTGCTTGGTCCTCTCGTCTCGAGTAGACAAATCCGGCTCTGGCAAACGATATTTTGATTATTGCATCCAGATCTTTATACTATTGTTTGAACGACATCGATTGACGTTCAAAGTCACAAAAGTCAGGCAAAATCCACAGAAATTTGCATTTGTTTGATTTTATACATCTCATTCAGTTTATGGCCTCTAAACTGGTTTACGAATGCATGGATGAGATCCGTAGATAGATACAAACATGGCATCACTTTAACCAGGAAATTTGAAAAGGTCGTGCTAAATGGCTTTCGCTAGTAGAGTAGTAAGATACACAAAGGGCATCGCTTTCAATGACAGTTAAGGAGATGCGAGATCGTGCTGCATCGCTGATATCGCAGAGCATATCACTCTGGGAGCAAGACACACCATCGCACTCGAGTACATTATTGATCATGGAGTCCGCAAAAAGCCCGCCATTTAGTAGAGTTTGTAACTATCAGTAAAACATGCTGAGATAAAAATTGAAATTAAATTCATCCTTGACCCATCATTAGGATGCTTTGTATAAAGTTTCATCATCTTTCTCTGTCGAGGTTTTTATGCGCATCGAATTGTTGAATTACCCTTTGTTATAGTTGGGCTCATCGTGTCTGTACGGTAAATTGTTATTGTCTGGAATGCTCATTCGTTTCAAACACACAATTTAATAGACGTTTTCTAAAGTTCGACGGATGATTTGGTGTTTTTGCAAGCGTACATTTTTGTGTTGATCTAATGTTTTCAATCGAAGTCTTTATCTTTGAAAGCTTCTTTCAATGCATCAAAATTGGGCTAGTTGATTTGATCGATAGCTGAATGTCAGCTCTTTGACTCTGCACCTGGTATGAATATCTTCCTGTCGGTCTTGTTATAGGTATCCCTCATTTGTGGGGCCAACGCTAGCAGGACTGACAATATTATCTTCCGCTTCTTCGTCCGTCCATGCACATAAAAGTTTCCTTTTGACGCTTTGGGTGATGTCTGTAAAGGCAATGCATGCACATAATACTGTTAGTGTCAAAGTAAATGACTCAGTTTCTTAAACGTTCTAAGAGATCGTAGAATGTATTGGAGCATTTTAAAAATGCATCAGGGTTGACTCACTATCTCCGTGATCCAGTAATAATTTTAGAATTTTGTCACAGTAACGACTTAAAATGTCGTCCACATCAGATCGGTAATCTTTCAACATTTCTTCATGTAAGTCAAATGGGTTTGGAGAGAGAGAGAGAGAGAGAGAGAGAGAGAGAGAGAGAGAGAGAGAGAGAGAGAGAGAGAGAGAGAGAGAGAGAGAGAGAGAGAGAGAGAGAGAGAGAGAGAGAGAGAGAGAGAGAGAGAGAGAGAGAGAGAGTTTGGTATAAGGTGTTGAATGCTTCTTTTTGATATGTGTGCATACCCTCGAGGTCGTAACGTCAGGCAAACGTTGAAGTACAACGTGTTACTTATCTGAAAAAGCGTGGAAAATAATCTTTGCCATTTAAGTCATTCCAAACGTTTTAGACATTCTACACTTCTCACAAACATGACGAGCTACCAAAAATAAGAATGTGAAAGCCAATCTCTGGATTATATGCAGCATTAAAAAGGATGACATCTACTTTTTTTGTTTTGTTCTTGTGCTGGGCTTCTTTTAAGTCTTGCTCCAGGTCATTGTCATATTTTTGGACGTAACATTAAGCAACCACGATATCTTTCTTTGCAATAAATGCGTTGCTCCTGATTGGCAAATCTTTAATCACAATTTTCAGAATAATACGTATATCCGAAGAATTAATTGATAATTGTAATATCATCGAAATGCTTTGACGATGCTGCACATGAATGCATATATCATATTGAAAATCTGGTCCTCGAAACACAAGAGTTTCGCGAACGACTTGAGGGTACACTTTAACGAATATGGGGAGGAGCCAACATGGTTTTAAGGATGCAATTTCAGGAATGTCACAAACCGTTTCTTTTGAAATACCTCTATGCTTACAAATTAAATGACACAAGGAAGCAAAACATACAAATTTTGTAAAACTTAACAAATAATCAAATTACCAAAGTTATAAATGAAACTGTGAAATGAACTTTCAGCATTATGAAGTGAAATCAAAATAATCTCAAATAAAACTACTGGTAAAGTCCAAATGAATGAAAAATTAATTCCTTGTAAAATTCAAAACTGGAAATATAATCGTCCGCCAAGGATCGTGACGTTGTCAAAATGGCGTTGTTCTGAACACTTTGAATAATTCTTAATAGTTTCAAAATTATATTATAGTCCAATGAGTACTCTCTATTTCCACTGAAAAGTCCAAGCAAATGTTTTTTTTTTCCGCTTAATAATATCCTAGTATAACATAAAACACATGTAGACTTTATATTGCAATATGAACATACGAAACAAGAATGACTCCAACGTATGAATGAATCTGATTGCTTAGTTCTATCATTATATACATATTTAGGAGTCTATTACAATATATGGCAATATACTCCACGTGACAGATCTTTCTACTCAATACAATATTTCAAAATACCTTTTTATGTGACGCAACCCAAACAATAAGAATTAACCTAATTCTTCTAAGATACTTCCTGACTGATCTGTAAAATTGGAGAAAGGCCGAATCTCGTAAACATATATACTAATAATTTTATTATTAGTAAAATATCAAAACATACGTTGAAGATCTATTGTAGATTCCATGCAATTTTAAGGTCTTTATAATCTTAGAATAGACCATATGTACTTACGAATTGTATTTATTGATAAACATTACAATTTACAGCAATTTATTAAAAGTACAATAAATAGCCATCATCTTGTAAAAGGAGAACAAAAATGTAGGCATCCATAAAAGGGAGCTACACACCTTCTGTTTTATTGGATCTGGACTCTTCTTAGTCTTGCAGCAGCATTTTAGTATTGGTTCAAAGTTACTCATGTCATCTTCAAAATCACTGGCTTACACTTGTAATAACCCATAAGTTAATGTATAGGGCGACATCAAATGTCGTCGTCATCTGTGATGTGTCTAATTTTGAAAACTCTTAGAAGCTTTGGTTAAAGGAATTATATCAAAGTCTACTTAATTAAAGTAGAAAGGGCTAGAGATAGTTAGATGATTATTTTCATTTCATCTCTCAACGTCAAAAGGGAATTCGTTCTAGCCGACGTAACATGACCGAGTCAGATGCTATGGTACAAGAGAATGACATAAGACTCTTTCCCAAAATCGACCGCGGAAGGGCGTCAGCTGGCTATAGATGATTGTTCAAAGTAATGTTAATTAAGGCATGATTAGTTCTCTTGTCAATCCAAAAATTCTACGGAATAGGTTTAGGATACAGTCTATTCCGATTGGTTAATATGGATTTATGGGCGTTACTCTGTAAGAAATTAAAGGTTTTACTTTAGGAAAATTCA